TACCACTCTATTCTCTATTCACTCTATACCACTCTATTCTGCCTTGGTTAGACCACACCTGGAATACTGTGTCCAATTCTGGGCCCCACAATTTAAGAAGGCTGGTGACAAGCTGGAACATGTGCAGAGGAGGGCAACTAAGATGATCAAGGGTCTGGAAACTAAGCCTTACAAGGAGTGCTTGAAGGAGCTGGGTATGCTTAGAATGGAAAAAAGGAGAATGAGAGGAGATATGATGCCCATCTTCAAATATCTCAAGGGCTGTCACATGGAAGAAGGAACAAGCTTGTTTTCTCCTGCTCTGGAGGGGAGGGCTCAAACCAATGGCTTCAAGTTACAAGAAAGGAGATTCCGACTAAACATCAGGAAAAACTTTCGGACAGTAAGAGCTGTTTGACAGTGGAACAGACTCCCATGGGAGGTTGTGAACTCTAAGTCTGCGGAGGTTTTTTAGCAGAGTTTGGATTGCTATCTGTCATGAATGCCTTAGCTGAGATTCCTGCATTGTAGAGGGTTGGACTAAATGACTCTTGGGTCCCTTCCAACTCTAAGATTCTATGATAAATTTACATGTTGCCTGATTGTGGATGCAGTGTAGCACACTATTTGGGTAGGGTTTTTCTTGTTTTTATATGTTTGGTAATGTTTTGCTGGGTGCTTTTTATCATCACACCCCCTAGTTTGTTTCCATCAACCAGAAGGAAAGGATGCAGCCTGCCCTTCTCGACCAGCTGTTTTTACAACTGCTCTTTTGCACAACACTGTTCTTGCACAGAACAGCTTTTATTATTTAAAAATAAAAATAAAAATTCCCCTTGTGGATAAAGGCATGGGGAAAGGGAAAACCATAAGGGGGGTACCACTTCATATGAAAGCTATTCCAAATCACTGCCTGCAGTAAACTTTTTTCAAACATCTATTTTGTTCAAATAATACTGAAAAACTTGTGTTTCAAAAAATAATATGGTGTGAGCAAACATGTTAACAAATAGCTGCACACAAGCCCATAAGTTTCTGAAATTGAATCATAGAATCATAGAATCATAGAGTTGGAAGAGACCACAAGGGCCATCGAGTCCAACCCCCTGCCAAGCAGGAAACACCATCAGAGCACTCCTGACATATGGTTGTCAAGCCTCTGCTTAAAGACCTCCAAAGAAGGAGACTCCACCACACTCCTTAGCAGCAAATTCCACTGTCGAACAGCTCTTACTGTCAGGAAGTTCTTCCTAATGTTTAGGTGGAATCTTCTTTCTTTTGGGCGGGGAAGTGCCAATTGAGAGGACAACAATATACATGCTTTTAAGCAGCACCAACTAGTGAATGAGAAATACCCAACAGTCTTTGGAGGCATGAAATTGAAACTGCTCATGTACAGGCAAAGCCAAACATGGAAAGAGTGAATGAGTGAATGAATGAATGAATGAATGCATGAATGCCCTAGTGTGGACACAGACAATCTGCTGGGGAAATAGTTGTTTTTTCCCCCTAAGATAAAAGCTGCAGTAATGTAAAAAGAGGATTATTTGGGCTTCAAGATAGTATGTAAACCACAGCACTGTTAGGAAGAAACAGAAGACACTCAATCCTATGCACACTTACCTGGGAGTAAACCCAGTGAATTCAGTGAAACGAATTTCTTAATAACAAATAAATAAGCATGGGTTTTTTGCCTATTAGATTTATATCCTAATCTATTCCAATAAATAATATATCCTTGAAAAATAAAAACACAACTCAGTTTCTCTCAGAAGAACCATGTCTGCAAGGTCCACAGCTTCTGATTCTCAATGTTCACTTGGAGCTTCATGGATTTCAAAAAAGGGAAGATTTGTTTGCTTCCACTCTTATTGCATGTTAGTTACTTGCTTTATTTTGTGTGTGTTATTCACAATCACTTATCAGTTTATTTCACCCGAAGAGAAAGGAATCCAAGCAAAGTTAGAGGAGAGAGGCTGTGTTGTCCAAAAACCCTGCTACCCTGTTGCAGGGGAAGATGTTTGGCTACCTCCCAGATGCTGCTCCACGCCCCAAAGCCTTAAAATGTCCCTTTCCTCTCCCCCACCCCACCATTTCTCTGTGTATTGTTTTTCATCCTGGCACCTCCTCGGAGTAGACTCTGGCTCCCAGGTCTGGGGGCAAGGCTGAAGCCCAGCAGGTTCCATCAAAGGAGTCAGGGTTCATTGTGACTGAAGTATCACGGAATGAAATAGGCTTACATTCCCTTTTCCTCCTATACAACTTTCCCTCAGCTAAAGTCTTCCACCTTTGTTCCTAACATATTGGAAGCTTAGAAGAAGTTCCTCAATGGGATCACAAGATCTTCTGAAAGACAGCTTGCCCAGTGCTATCAATCTGGAAGGGAGTTCAGGGCTTGCTGGAAGGGCACTCTCTATTGACCTGGGGCAGCAGCAATGTCTGATGCCGGTATGAAGAATTACACTTAGAATGTGTTCCAGAACAGAGACTCCTCAGTGGGGAAGTTGACATGGAAAGGTTTCCCTAAAGGCAGAAATTCTGAAAAGCCAAATTACCATTCTGGATAACACCAACTACGTAAGCATGCACTGTGGGGTGATTGTCAGTGTGGAAAGAGAAGCACTGCTGCCCCTTGTGATAAAAAGCGAACAGCTGGGGCATCTCCTCCTCCTCCTCTCCCTAGGTCCCCCTACCTAGAGTGGATTGGAAAGTCTCCCCATCACTGCTTGTTCAGTAATTTCACGCTACAATGCCCAACAATGTAAGCACGGAGCCTCAATCTAAAGTCTCCACTTCCCAAATGTCACTTGTTTTTGAACACATGGCTAAGCCCAAAATTGCTTTTAATATTAGAGCAGTTGCCCACTGGCAGCTGCCATAGTTAAAACTCTTCTCAGAATTTCCATGACAAACTACCATTTTCTGGGGTCCAAAACAATGAAATTAGAGGTGTTGGGGTGAAAACCTAGCAAGCAAGGCCGCAGCAGACAGGATCAGATTCCAAGTCCTCTAATAATAAAATTTGCTTGATTAGCATGCTTTTTAAAACGGAAGGTCTTCAGACACAATTTTGTACTTAGGCCTCAGCACTACTTCAAAACCGAGTCTTGGGATTACAATTTCTCATGTGTGCTTCACTTGCACCAGTGATTTCCCAGAGACCTGGAAGTAGAGACCCACTCCCCCAATCCCCAATTCAGAACTGGAAGAACCCTCAACTCTTACATACAGTGGTGCCCCGCAAGACGAATGCCTCGCAAGATGGAAAACCCGCTAGACGAAAGGGTTTTCCGTTTTGGAGGTGCTTCGCAAAACGAATTTCCTATGGGCTTGCTTCGCAAGACGAAAATGTCTTGCGAGTTCCTGCAGGGTTTTTTTCCTCCCCCCCCCTTTTTCCCAAGCCGCTAAGCCGCTTATCAGCTGATCCGCTAAGCCGCTTAGCAGCTGATCCGCTAAGCCGCTAACAGCTGATCCGCTAAGCCGCTAATCAGCTGATCGCTAAGCCACTTATCAGCTGATCCGCTAAGCCGCTAATGGGCTTGCTTCGCAAGACAAAAAAAACCGCAAGACGAAGAGACTCGCGGAACGGATTCTTTTCGTCTTGCGAGGCACCACTGTAGTCTGAAAATAAACCTTTTCAGGTGCAAGAGTAGAAACTGACTACCCGAGGCAAGCCCAACCCGTTTCTCCACGAGTCAATGTGTCTCATATAAAGGACCAGTAGTCAACCTCGTCCAGAAAGGGCTATTCTGTTTCAGGAATAGCTGGTGGTCACACCTCAGAGGCAGAGACAAGGCAGAATTATCTGCCCACAGTGGAGGCGAATTGGAAAGAGGCGAAGAGCAGTAAATCAAGCAGCGATACAGCAGACAGCTTTCTCTGTGGGGCAGGTACTCTGGCCCAACCAGGACCTATTAACCATTTAACTGTTTTCTCTCTCACACACAAGTAGTTCTCTCATGGCACACACTTTGAAAATTACTGACAGACACAAACATATTGTTACATTGCAGCACACTATCGGGGGGAAAGCTAGGGCTTGCACCAGTGTGCCATGTTAGCCACATCAAAGGAAAAAGAACCATTGGGCGCATGTGACAGAGGCTACAGGCATACAAACAAGCAGCTTAATGTCTGATGTTTTACAATTTTTAATGTGCTGTATGCTGCAGAGTGGCTTGAGAAATCCAGTCAGATGTGCGGGGTATAATATTATTATTATTATTATTATTATTATTAGCCAGAAATAGATGGAAGAGGCTGTCTGAGTCACATATCCTTAGCTGAGTAAAAAATGACGGTAAACCCCAGGAAACCATGGTTTGCTAACTGGGAGCCAGCCTGAGGAGTGTGCACTCTTTTCCAACCCCAGCACACGTTCCACATACACTCTTTGTTTGCCTTGACTGTGGTTAAGCCTTATATGTGCTAACTCTGTCTGTTTAACACTAGGCAGGGTTCCCATCTGAAACAGATTTTAAAACCAGAGTTTGAAGTGGCTTTGCAAACTTCAGCCGGGTAGCATGAACCATGATGCTGGTGTGAACTCAATGGTTCAGTCACGGTTTAGGCAGAAAATCAGCAGGAAACCTGAGCCAGGCAGACCGGCTCCCAATTTGCAAGGCAAGCTTTGTACAGTGGTGCCTCGCAAGACGAAAAGAATCCGTTCCACGATTCTCTTCGTCTAGCGGTTTTTTCGTCTTGCTTAGCGGCTAAGCGGCTTAGTGCTATTAGCGGTTTAGCGGCTTAGCGGCTATTAAAGGCTTAGCGGCTTAGCTGCTAAAAGGCTATTAGCAGCTTAGCGGCTTAGAAAAAGGGGGGGAGCGGGGGGAAAATGGCGAGACTCGCAAGACGTTTTCGTCTTGCGAAGCAAGCCCATAGGGAAATTCGTCTTGCGAAGCACATCGCAAACGGAAAACCCTTTCGTCTAGCGGGTTTTCCGTCTTGCGAGGCATTCGTCTTGCGGGGCACCACTGTAATTTGCCCCATGCCAACTAAAGCACCAGGATGTGGGAACTCACTTGGGTGGCCATCTTGCCGTAGTCGATCCACCGAAGTGTGGCGAAGTTGGTGGACTCTGCACAGTTGAACCCGTGATTAAATCCTGCATGGTAGCCATAAGGAAAAGTAATCATGAACTCTCCGGCTTCTTGGGTGATCTGAAAACAGGAAAGGAAGAAAAGAATATGCCATTATCAAGCAAAGAGGTAGCAAAGCTTCGACCAAGGCAATGTGACCTTTTAAAAGAAATCTGTATTTGTAGTAAGAGAGGTGTCAGGGAACTGCCATCGGAGCCAGAGGGAGAGGGAGGGCTCCAGAGAGATGCCGGAGAGCGTCCCGGGAGAGAGAGAAGCAGCACATCTTCTGGGGAAGGAAATCAGCGTAGCACCAGTGGAGAAGGGGGGCAGATGGGGGAATCGGCGAGGTGGCTCCAAGACTCCTTGCCGGGGACCAGTGGGGAGAGCACGGGTCCTCCGATGCCCACACCCTCCCTGCGCAGAAGGCTTCCGCGCAGGGAGAAGTAGGCAGAGACTAGGCGTCAAAGAGCTTTTATGCTGGAAGAAGTTCAAGAAACGCCCACTGACGGATTCTGCCAGTGACTGAGACAGCCACGGGCGCGTGGCTGTCCAGACAGAAAGGGTTCATTCAGGCAACCAGCCAAGGGTGGCGCCGATTTATGCACAAGCAACCCCTAGAACCATTACAAGAGGGGACAAGAAGTGCCCCTACACTGAAACCAAGATGGTGGGCTGATTATGGTGACCCAGGGCTGCTTTCAGGATTCTCCGTATATCTTTGTGGGATCTCTTAGGAAAGGACAGCTACCCCTTCTAGAAATGTGGTTTCCCACAAGGAATTCTCATGGGAACAAACTAATGCAGGGAGGAAATGCATACATTCACCAACCCAGGTGACCTGCAATAAACTCTTTGCATGCCCCACCAGGGTCCCAACCAACTCCCCCCACATTGGCTTTATGCTGCCTGAAATCCAAGCCCCACAATCTTTTAGTGTTCTGGGAAAGCCAAAGGCACACTTCTCCAGCCAGACGTCACATGCCACAAAAACATTTCAGAAAGGCTTTTGACAAAGTGCCCCATGATATTCTTGTGAGGAAGTTGGCAAAATGTGGGTTGAATGAGGTAACTGTTAGGTAGATTCGTAGCTGGTTGGCTGACCAAACCCAAAGAGGACTCATTAATGGTTCCTTATCATCCTGGGAAAAAGTGGTAAGTGGGTGCCGCAGGGTTCTGTCCTGGGCCCGTTAACAACATCTTTGTAAATGACTTGGATGAAGAAATTGAGGGGATGCTCATCAAATTTGCAGATGACACCAAACTGGGAGAGGTAGCCAATGCCGCAGAAGACAGAATCAGAATTCAAAATGACCTTAAACAGATTGGAGACCTGGGCCCAAACTAAAAAAAATGAATTTCAATGCGGACAAATTATTTTGCCTTGGAGTTCTGTGTTCATTTCTGGGCCCCACAATTTAAGAAGGCTGTTGACAAGCTGGAACATGTGCAGAGGAGGGCAAACAAGCTGATCATGGGTCTGGAAACACAGCCTTATGAGGAATGGTTGAAGGAGCTGGGTATGTTTAGCCTGGAAAAGAGGAGACTGAGAGGAGATATGATATCCATCTTCAACTATCTCAAGGAATGCCACATGGAAGAGGGAACAAGCTTGTTCTCTCTTGCTCTGGAGGGAAAGACTCGAACCAATGGCTTCAAGTTATAAGAAAGGAGATTCCGACTAAACAACAGGGAAAACTTTCTGACATAAGAGCTATTTGACAGTGGAACAGACTCCCACAAGAGGTGGTGGACTCTCCTTCCTTGGTGGTTTTAAAGTAGAGGTTGGACGACCATCTGTCATGCAGGCTTTAGCTGAGACTCCTGAATTGCAGGGTTGGACTAGATGACCCTTGGTTCCCTTTCAGCTCTATGATTCTATGAAATATAATAAAGAAATCTCAAGACCACCATAAACTACAGAAATGCTGTCACTGTCTGCAGAAGGGGATCGAAGTGACAGTATTGAGTCTGGCAATTTCAGTTGCTATGGCAAATGTGCAGCATCCTCATATGACAGGCCCCAGGTATTCTTCCCAAACTTAGGTGCTGCTGTGGGGGGGGGGGGAAGAAGGGCTGTCTCTGCAGTAGCATGGCAGCTTTTAGTCCTCTCTCCAGTTCCAGTGCTAAGAGGAAGACTGGAGATTGTTTTGCCACTGCATTAGAAAAGCACTCCAGAGGAACAAATTAATCAGCCCCCTCAACTCTTCCCAGCTCTGTAGTTGGAGAAGTAGAGGAGGCTTCTGCAGGCAGTGCCTTGCCAGGACATCTTGGAGCTGGGAAGGGGAGCGAAAGATTGTCCTTGACTTTGCACAGAGAAGCAGCCCAAGAAGCAAATAGAGGGCAGGTTTCTGGCAACCACTGTTTTTGGCTTAGTTATCAAGTCCAGGCAAAAATAGTGGACCTCTACTCTAAAACCATTATTTGCCAGTCTCAAGTACAGCTTATCAGGCAGGTGTAGTCCCGAGTCCTGGTAAGCAGCGCTGCACATATCTCAGCAGCTGTATACTCAAAACACAGGCATATTTGTACAGTGGGGGAATCACACACTAGAGAAGCACTGTAGTTTCAACCACCCACAAAAGTCCACCATACAGTAACTCCGCTTTCAAGTTTTTGCGTCTTTCACAAAGATTTCCCCCACATCATTCCCCTTTCACTTATATTACACATGTGAGACATCTAAATCAGAGGTACCAAGGAAGAAATCAAGAGTGGGACAAACTTTCATAGGATGAGATTAAAGACCCAGGATGTCAAGCACCAATTTCATATCCATCATGTTTGCAACAGCACTGTGTGTGTGTGTGTGTGTGTGTGAGAGAGAGAGAGAGAGAGGGGGGGGGAGGGAGGGAGGGAGGGAGGAATATGAATGAGCTGGCACCCACTTTTCTCGTTTCTCTGCCACCAGAGTAGAGAGGTTTGGGGAAAACCACATCCTTACTTATTATGTAATTGGGGAGCTGGGGTCTTAAAACATCCGGTTTTCCTCATTTCAGAGGGAAAGAGAGTTTGATTCCTCAGATGATTTGATTTGATTTGATTTGGACAACCAAAGAAGGGGGAAACTGGCTAATGCATAAAAGAAGGCCTTCTACACACCTCCATGTACTCACAACTTGGGTGTTTGCTTTAAAAACTGGGATCCCTCTGAAGAACAACTAGCATCAGGTCTGCTGAGCATCACCAACTAGCCTGCCACCCTCTGGATTGGTTGTCTCAATCTTTATTACCACATACAGTGGTGCCCCGCAAGACGAATGCCTCGCAAGACGGAAAACCCGCTAGACGAAAGGGTTTTCCGTTTTGGAGGTGCTTCGCAAAACGAATTTCCTATGGGCTTGCTTCGCAAGATGAAAATGTCTTGCGAGTTCCTGCAGGGTTTTTTTTTCCTCTCCCCCCCCCTTTTCCCAAGCCGCTAAGCCGCTTATCAGCTGATCCGCTAAGCCGCTTAACAGCTGATCCGCTAAGCCGCTTATCAGCTGATCCGCTAAGCCGCTTATTAGCTGATCCGCTAAGCTGCTAAACCGCTTATCAGCTGATCCGCTAAGCCCGCTAAGCCGCTAATAGTGCTAATCCGCTAAGCCGCTAATGGGCTTGCTTCGCATGACGAAAAAACCGCAAGACGAAGAGAATTGCGGAACGGATTCTTTTCGTCTTGCGAGGCACCACTGTATTTGTACCAAAATTTTTCAACTGGCTGAGTTGGGCATTAACTAACATAAGAAGGGGAAATGTCATAAGGATTTCTCTGCCTGATGGGCCAAAATGTCTTTAGCCAGCCCTGACTGAGGCAGCAGCACCAGCACCAGCAAGCAATGCTCCTGAGGCATGAAAAGTGACTGGTTAAAATGCTGCTGCGACTTACTGAGGTGCTAATGTGTCACAGCCTAATTCTTAAGCATGAGGACTTTACTCCAAAGAATGTTTAAGAGGGACAACCATCTGCACTCACGACCTCCCTCCCCTCCCCTGAGGAGAGCCAGCCTGACAGCAGTACTGTAAGAGGCTTTGTATTCCTCTGCTTCTCCCGATACAGGTGAGAGAAGTTCAGGCCTGGCCTCTGGTGCCCAGCTCCACTTGAACCTGTTCATAAATCAAGGCAAAGCTGCAGACAGTTAAGTTAAGCAGACAGAGAGATTATGCTCCTGTCAGAAAATCTACATCCCTGTGTCTTCATCCCAAGACCCACAGTGCATATCCTCCTCACATCACTGCTGTCAACATTATCCCGCCAATAAATTAGAAAAGCACTCCAGGTGACGGATGGGCTTGGGTAGAAAAGTAATAACTATTGAGGAAAAGCCAGCACCGGCTGCCACTCACAGTGAAAAGCCCTGAATTTACTGACTTCTGCAAGGCCTTCACAGAATAAATGGGGAAATCAATAGCGGATTACAGAAATACACATTTTTAATTATTAAAAAGCTCAGGTATCGATCTGATTTCTTTAGAGAAGTAAATACCATCACTAAGATTTATAAACACCCAGGTATTTGCCCTGTTTGAAGCCTGCCAGGAATTTTGATGCATTTGTGGAGGGAGAAATGGGAGGGACCTTTGGCTTGCTTTCTCTGAATGGAGGCCACTTCTGGAGAGGGCTGCTGCTTTAAGTTAGGCTGGACTTGCTTGGGACAAAGGAGGTCCCCCTGCATCACCTTACCACAATGTGGCCTCAGAGGAGGAGCAAGGAGCTGTCAGGAAAGCAACATCCCTCCCCTGCTGGGGGCCAGAACCTCAGAATCTTATGGCCAACCTTCCCTTGCCTTCAAAAGAAAAAGCATTCAGCATTCACAGATTCACCAGCCTTTAAGAGGCCTCCATTCTTGCATGGTGTACACAATGAAACAGAATTCTATGCCAGTTTCCCACATAGCTAACACGGAGATTTTGCAAGGGCTCTCTCCCATGTTCTCTCTCCCATGCAGCCTGACCAACATCTACTCAGTCTGACAAATAAAGTGTCAGAAAAAGCAGGCTAAACACAAAGTCTTAATGCCAAAGATAGAACACCCTCTCTGGTGTGCTGCAAGTCATATTCTTCCCTTCTGTGAACAGCCATTCCATCCAGGACTGTGTGATACCCCTTTCTCAGGTGGTGTTTAAGACTGCAGTAAACTTCCTACATCCTTAAAATAATTAGGAAGCGTAAAGAGAGGTGTGCAATTCAGGAAAACTTTTATAGCACTATTTTTCAAGCTGAAAGCTGAAATGATTCTTCTCACTCCATTTTCAATGAAGACATCATTACACTTTGGAAAAGAGCTATGCAGGTTGCTTAATGGCCAATGCATGCCTTGCTTAAACCTGTCTTCTATATTCTCACAACTACAAACTACCTTAAACATCAACAGTTCAATTGGGAAAGAAAAATGGTGGACTGGAGAGGTGAAGGCTCCATAATGTTCAGTCCCTGTAGGATTCCAACACAATTCCTCTCCTGCAGGGAATGGGGGAAGGGGACTGAATTTCTACCCTGTTTTTCAGTTCCCACACTCCTTTGAGAGGAACAATGAAAAAGGAAGAGAAGCAGAGTGGAGCTAATGTTTCTGGCAGGATCTTGTGCTACACCTTTTTATTTCATTTTTGCACAGACTTAGGGTAGAAGAAACGAAAGTGGTCCCATTTTATCCTCCCAACAGTAAGGGTGAGAGACTTGGCCAAGGCCATCAAGCGAAGAACACTTCCTTCATCCCTGAATATTATTCTAGCCATCAACCAGTCACAAATATCTGGTGGTGGGGTTTTATTAACAATGTCCTCAAGTGAATGGTTGCCACACAACATCAGGCGTTCTTGGGTAATGCTGATTGTCTAGATTAATTTTAATTGGGTTTCTTCAATTGGGAAACCCAGCCAGATGGGCAGCTGAAGAAGGAATTAAGAGTACCTGCTTCACAAGTTCCACAGTACTAGTTTTGATGCCTCTTTTTCAACCACTACAATCTCAAACCACCATGGATCTCAAAGGGTTCACAATAATAAAACAAAATTTATAGATTTGTCTCTGGAAGTAAAAATGCATCATCATCAAGTTATTTCCCTCAACCAGAACACTGAACCTAGCTCAGAACCCTACCTTTGAGTGTTTAATGTAACATAACTGTATGCTGGAGGATTCAGCTCTCGGCCAGCATTCTCTGAAAACCTGTGTGTGTCCTGAAACATTATCCATACATACCCGGTCAAAAGGGATGCCGTATTTCTTCAAGATAGATGGTGAAATGAGGGTCATCTTGTGGCGGAGGAAGGCGTCGCACCCTTGAGAGCTCCCGGGGAAAAATCCTGCAGGAGGATTCAGGAGAGAAACTATTACCATCACTGACCCTCAGGCCCCCTTCCAACTCTACAATTCTATGGTTTTGTATCCCAAGGGAATCCCCTCTGACCACCTAGAGGAAGTGCCAACAGCTGCATACTTGTTACTTATCCAGGCATCATTTTTCTCATGTATGTATAAAAGCTCTAAGGGGGGAGGGAGGCAGCACCATCATAAACCCTCAAAGTTCAAACAAGGCAAGTAAGATGCACAAAGACCGCCTCTCTCCATATGAACCTACCTGGACTCTGAGATCATCTTCTGAAGCCCTTCGTTGTGTGCCTCCTCAAAGTCCATGAGAGGTCCAGCAGGTGGCAACACAAGAACAGGCCTTTTCTGCAGTGTTTCCCTGTTTCTGGAATGCTCTCCCCAGGAAGGTTCAGCTCACGCCTCCATTATACACCTTTAAGTGCCAGGCAAAAATGTTTCTGTTTAACTAGGCCTTTTAAATGTGTTGTGGACAGGGGGGGATTATTGGGTTGTTTGGGTTTTTATTATGTATTTTGTGTCTTTTATACTGTGATTTTATGTTGTGAACTGCCCTAAGATCTACGGGTATAGGGTGGAATACAATAATAATAATAATAATCAATAATAATAATAATAATAATAATGATGATGATGATGATGATGAAAAGTAATCATGTGTAATAGGGAGCTCCCTGCCCCACCAACCCACAAACTCAAATAAATATGTTTTGGACATGTTCAAACTAACTATGACCCAAATGAAGATGAATCAGCAGGCAGAGCCCCTAGGTTTGTGCAAGCAGGAAAGTGGAGAAAGGTGGAAACATGGTAGTTTTGTCTGGTAAACTCTGGAGGGAAGCAAAACCTACTGGAAACAGAAGCTGCACTTTCAGCCTAATCCACACAAACAGCAGGTGGTGTCAAAACTGTTTCTCTGACGGTATGCAGACTGCAGGTGATGGATCACAGAGCTAAATTCCCCTGTGAAAAATACTCTCTACTAGGCTCAAAACCAGCTCAAACTATTTTTTCCTCCCATGCCAGTTTTCTACACATGATTGTGTGTCTAATCTCTCAGCTGCCGTCCAAAAACAGTTTTATCACCTTATCCTCTGGGTTGGATTTTGATCACTGTAGACCTACTGAAATTAATGGATTAAACAAAATAAAAAAATCCCTTCCAGTAGCACCTTAGAGACCAGCTAAGTTTGTTACTGGCATGAGCTTTCGTGTACATGCACACTTCTTCAGATACCAATGGATTAAAGTTACTAGTATGACTAACATTGGATACCACCGTGTGTGTGAGTATAATAAATACTGAATAGCTTTGTTAGTAGAGCATGAGACTCTTAATCTCAAGGTTGTGGGTATGAGCCCCACAATGAGCAAAAAGATTCCTGCATTGCATAGATTCCTATGGGAAACCATCATGGCAGGAGTGTGAGTGTGTGCATACCTTCAAAATGGAATGGAAGGGAGCTGCAACGGATGCAAAATTCTGTTGTCCGTTATGTGTGGGGCAGCAATATGAGATTATATTACACCCATCCTCAACATACAGCACTGGCTGTTACTGAGCTATCAGGCACAATTCAAGATGCTGGCACTATAGTACAAAGCCATAAATGGCTCAGGAACACCTTTTTTATTTACTTAACAGAATTTGCATACTGCAGAAGCATAAAAGGCTTCTAAGCGTATGTTTTTTTACTTACCCATTACCAACCAACCTTGGGAAAACATCCCCACCAGAGGCAGGGCCTTCTTGGCTGCAAAACCCCATTTAATGTGACATTTACTGAACATCAACTGCAATTGCAACAGTTGAGCTTTAATTGGTATCTTATGAAGCGACTTGTGTGTGTTACTTTAGGCTGTAGAGTACCCAAGTTAATATGCTATCATCATCCTGAAGGTTACATTTCTCCACAGCTCTACCCGCCTCCTCCTCAGCAGGCTTTTACACATTTCTTGGTTAGCACTAAGAAGAATGTTCTCCAGTGGGGGTTTGTGCTCCCTCGAAATCAGCAGGAAATATCCTATGCAAGCTCTTAGCATTCCACAAAAAACTCATGCCGTTATGAAGCATGTTACATGAATGCACCTGAAGCATGAAGAAAAAAATGCTGAGTCTCAGGAAACTACCACAGGTATAAGGTTCTTTTAAACGACTCTTCAGCGCTCAAGATTTCTATAGCAGCTGGCAGAATCCAGTGCACGTGCTTGCAAAGGTTCAGATATATCCCAGAAACCATCTTTCTGAATAGCCCTGCAGCAAACTAGTATCCCAGATTGAATGAGCACTGAATGGGCCATTTTGTGTGAAATCCTCCAAAGTGGTTACTGAATTCTGAAAGCTTTCCTTTGCTTGTATCATCAAGACCACTCTTCCAATCGCAAGGTCATGTGCAACCATTATGCAGATCTAATCACACTCAGGTTGAGAGACACACTGTGCAGCTTTGTTTCTACATCTATAATCAGAAATATTGACCTGATATTTTGCTGAGGAACAGAGAGTATTGTTGAATTCCACTGCAGCCAAACTAGTCCTCCTTTAATCTGAAGTGCCGGCAACAGAATCCAAGGGACATCACCCATTTTGAGAGCAGCATAATCTAGTAGAAATGTAACCGGCCAACATCCTGTTCCTTTCTGTATGCCTTGTGTCAGTGCCACACATCTCACACCATCAGCTTCACCAGCTTTAGTATCTTGATCTGCAACCTATATTGCCATACAATGTATTTTTACCCACTTAAAAGAGTTTTAAACAAATTGGCTCTCGTTGTCAAAAGCAACATGTGCAGTGGCGATTTTCAGGAGTTGTGAACAGTACCCTCATTGCTACATGTCAGTTTCTATTTTCGGTTTTTCAAGCTATGTTGCAGCAGACAATGACCTTGTAGGCCTCCAACTTCAATGACCTTTCTATTTCCAACCCTGCTATTATAGCTAACCCAAGCTGAGAATGCCTTGCTGGCTTCATTCTTCTATTAGTGGCAGCATAAAACACATCCTGAGAGAATGATTTAATCTCCCTTTTCGTGTCCTCATTTTTTCCTCTCCTTGGTTCAAGCTCTGGAGTGTAAAGAATGGCTTCAGTTTAAGTCTGGAGCACCTTCCTCTCCTTCTAAACAACATGCTTCAGAGACAGTGTCTGGAATAGGGCATTTGTCACGTCAGCTCTGAATAACCCCTTGTTCAGAAGAAAAGCTGTATCCTTTACACAAATGCTCAATTCCAATTATTGCTCCTCTCATAACACTTTGTCGATCCAAATGGAACCCTTACATTAGCAAGTACTATGTGGAGACTCCGCATCCTGCTATCCACATCACTTCCATCAACATGCCAAGGTTTTCACCTATAGGTACTACCGATTTAAAAGTTCCTGCTATGCCTGCATGTTTAAGTCCCTTCATTGTCTGTAACCAGTTGTGTAGGGCCTGAATGTTCTCTGGCAGAAACGCTACACTTTCCTATAGGAGACACTCATCTATTAAAGTACAAAATGGCACCACATGTGGATGAGTGTACCTGCCTTGTTCTGATACCACAATATCTTCTGCTGGCTCTTCTGATTGCATTTGGAATTCAAAAAATATACAATAATAAACCTCCTTTGCACCTATGCCATGGATTCCAGTGGCAATGGCTTCAACCTTAGGCAGCTAGTGATGACCTTTAAAGCTCTAAATAGCATGGGGTCAGATTATTTGACGGACCACCAGCATCCCTATCTGCCTGCCCATAGCTCTGAAGCCCTACTGAGGTGTTCACCTATCAAGGTGAGACTGGAGAGCACATGGATGACAGCACTATTGGCAGTGGCTCCACAATTATGGAATACAATTCTTCAGGACATAAGCCAGACACCATTCCTCATGGGCTATAAAATGCTTTAAGTATGCAATGTAGCCTTTAGTAAACAAATGGGATTGAAGTTGCAGAATTATTATTTCGGTCTGGTTTGGATAATTTTTGTACCTTCCTGGCCATAAAGTCAGCTTGTAATATCATTTACTGCATGTAATATCATTTTGTTGTCTTAAAGGTAAAGGTAAAGGTACCCCTCACCGCTAGGTCTAGTCACGAACGACTCTGGGGTTGCGGCACTCCTCTCGCTTTACTGGCCGAGGAAGCCGGCATAAGAGCTTCCAGGTCATGTGGCCAGCGTGACTAAGCCGCTTCTGGCGAACCAGAGCAGCGCACGGAAATGCCGTTTACCTTCTTGCCGGAGCGGTACCTATTTATCTACTTGCACTTGATGTGCTTTCGAACTGCTAGGTGGGCAGGAGCAGGGACCGAGCAACGGGAGCTCACCCCGTCGCGGGGATTCAAACTGCCGACCTTCCGATCGGCAAGCCCTAGGCTCTGTGGTTTAGACCACAGCGCCACCTGCTTACAAACACTTGTTGTCTTACAAGGTTTTAAATTTGTATTTTATTGTAAGTATTGTACTGTATGACATGCAGTTATAAACACATTTATTAAATCAACTAACCATGGCTAGAAGAATCCTGTGCTCCAAGTTAGGAACCTTGGAAGTTGCCTGGTACAGAGTCAGATCATTGGGTCCATCTAGCTCAGTATCATTCAAATTGGCTGGTAATGGTTCTCAAGGGTTTCATGTAGGGTCTCTACCAACCTTACCTTGAGACGAAACTGAAACCTTCTGCATGCAAAATAAATTCTCTACCAGAGGATTTCAATCTCCTTTACATGTGTGCAGAAGGAGAAGGGAGGGGAAGGAAGTGTGCTAGCCAAAGGCTTCTCCAGACCCATTCCCATAACCGGGCCATAAGTTAATTTAGGAAAATGATAAATTTTGTTTTCGAACAGTAATTTGTTTGGTTACATGTGCAAAAGCAAATCTGGGGACTCACCTGAAGCATGGATGCAACATTTGTGCTGGGAGGATAAACTAATTTGAAAAATGAGGCAAACCACGGATAATACAGCCCCAGAGAGCAATCTTGTCTGTTTTCTA